AGGCAAGGCTAACCGAGGTGGCACCTGACGGGCTCTCCTGGTCCCTATCTCAGAGACACATCCCTTGCTAGCAGCGGCGGTGGCTTTACAACTTCCATGCCTTGCTCTGAAACAAACAAAAACTCAGCATCAAGATAGAAAATAAAATAGTAATTTTAAAAAGCCAACCAAGAATTTTGAAGCATTTTGATCAAAAGGAAGCTACAGGAAACCCCTGCGAAGCGCTCGAAGCCTCTTCTCCCCAGGCCAGCGCTCTCCCCTCCTTGCTCCATCACCACCCGGCAGATGCAGCAGCCAGCACCCAGCACCGACGGGCACCCACCGCCAGCTGGGCAGCGCTGCCCATTCATTCCCACCGGCCCACGGCTCCACCCAGCCAACTTAGCAGCAACTTCACCGCAAGTGTCAATACCTCCATTTTTTTGTGTGTGTTGGGGTTTTTTTTTTTCCCTCCCCTCCCTTAAATTCAGAGCAAACTTCCCTTTCTGCTCACACTCCCCATGCCCCAATCCGTCGGCTCCCGATTGGCAGGGAAATCCTATACCCACCCTCCCCGCCGAGAAATGTCTGCTCTTGCAGCAGTCCCAACAAAAGCCAACTGCCAAGCACAGGCTGCTTCACAATAAAAGTCTCACTCTCTCCATATTTTTTTTCCTCCTTCCCCCCTTTCCCGCAGCCGTTCGCCTCCATTCCCTCGCCGACCCCAGACTGATTATTAACCTTCCGTGGCTGGAGAGCCTCCATAAAGCGTACACACCACCAGCAATGAAGCGTTATCCCACACACACCCTTTTAATTTTAGGTTTCAAGGGGAAGAAAAAAATTATTGCATCTTAAGAAAGACTGATTAGGTCTTTGAAAGGGCTTTAAAAGCCATGAGGATCCAAGTAGAGGAGCTAGTGCTGGTTTAGTTCTTCTCCTCCACCTGTGTTTACAAGAAAACAGGCTTCCTCTCCTCTGCGAGGTCTTTGGAGGGGATGGAAGACGGGTCAGACCAGCCAAGGAAAGGCTCTGCAGCATTTCCAAACAGACGACGACTAGAAACTACAGTGGTGCCTTTAAAACAAAAAAAAAAAGCCCACAAAAAAAAAAAAAAAAAAGAAGAGAAAAAGAGCAAAGCTGGGAAACACAGAAAGCTTTCTCAGCGTCCTCCTTGGCATTTTCATCAGCCATCCGGGTGCCCTTTGCAAGAGTCCAAACAGGTTTTATAGGCAAAGACAATACATGCACAGCAAAACTCCAACATATTGCAGCTTACCAAGCCCAAGAGACCAGTGAGTTACATCATGAACCAGAGCTCTCTCCAGGCAGACCAGGAAGGAGCGGAGGTTGATGTGCTAAGATGTCTACCTTCACCAGGGTCTTTTTTTTTTTTTTTTTTTTTTGTATTAAAAATCAACCATCTAGGAACCTGAGGCTTTGCGGCAGCATTACTCTGATCGCAGCCATGCAGCTGAAGCAGGTCAAGCTGAAAGAGGGACGGGAGCAGGAGGACCCCTCTGAAACTGCTCGCTCCCGTTCGGGGTAGCAGCTGCACCAACACATCTGCCTGCAGACCTGGTGGGACAGGCAGGACTGATCCTGCCCGGCCTGTGAAGCCTCCAGCAGGATGTCCACGCTCAGTGGACACGGACCCCTCAGAGGTGACACCACCAGGCACTGCTCCCCACGAGTGCTTGGGGCATGCACCCCAACGGCAGCTCCCCTGCGGAGCCGGGGCTCAGGCAAAGATCTCGCCAGCCATTCAGCAGGGCAGGATTTCACCTCCTGTGCAAGGCGGCGGCAAGGTTTGCAATACACACTGCAGCAAGGCAGAGAGGCAAAGCTCTCAAGAAATGATGCAACCCCAGCAGCAGCAGATTCTCATTCACTCATTTTTTTTCCTCCCTTTTCCTCCTAAAAAAAAAACCCAACACAACCCAAACCAACTTGCTCATAATCACCTTTGCCTTAAAGAGAAGACAAACATTTTATAGTTAATTATATAGGAAGTAATGATTAAGAAAACACTTGTAGAAAGAGAGTGTTTCTTTTGTAGGCATGTGAAGGCTGCTCATTTCAGATCTCGGCGCTGCTCAGGTCCTGCTGTGCACGGGCAGGGTCTGGGATCACTGCTCATGGGGACGCTGACCACGGGCCTGTCATTAGAAGCAGCAGAAGCATTTGATCTGGAGAAGGAAGGAAATGTAACCACCAGTGTACCTGGCCTACAAAGCAGTCACCAATCTCAAAGCTCCTTTTTTTTTTTTAGGTTAAGGCCACTTCCTTATAAGCCTCGTGCAATCATGTGAACATGGAATTTTATCTGCAGCTCACAACAAGCACTGCCCTCAGCCTGAAGTTTGTCCCCAAATCAAATTCTTTGCAATTTTTTTGTCTCCTGAATTCCTTTCATCCAGACTCTTCCT